ATTAGTCTTTTCTTCATGAACAAAAGAGCAGGTGTCTATCAGTTCTCTGAAGATGCCATGGTAAAGTTGGTTTGGACCTAATGAACCAAACAAAACATTTCTGGCAGATGCTTATAGTAACAAGAGTTTTTTTTTTTTTTTTCAAACAATAAACTGCTTTTACTCCCCACCCACACAGAGTGAAGAAAGAAAAGGCATGTTAACAACTTAAAGGCTTATAATTTTTCTATTAAAAACATGAGAAGAATTTAAATATCTCTCTGGCAGTGTTTAGCCTTTTTTCATCTCCATTTATGGAAAAAATATAAAATTATTATTTCATTTAAAAATGAATAATTAATATTCATTTTATTAATATACATGGTAGGAGAGGGTCAGGAGAAAGCTTAGTAATTGATGGACAAATATTGTAACCAGTATACAGCATTTTAAGCGTGTCTGTTTTCTGGGTTTTGATAATTGTTCTGCTGTTCTGTGAAACAATGGTATTAGAGAAAACTCAGTGAGTAAAAGGGTGTTTGCTCTACTACTCTAATTTTTCTAAAGCCCAGAATGATTTAAAAATCCAAAGGTAGGGCTGGCTGGAGCGATGGCTCAGTGGTTAAGAGCACTGGCTGCTCTTCCAAAAGATTGGGATTCCATCCCCAGCACCCAGATAGTGCTCACAGTTATCTGTAACTCCACTCCCAAGGAATTCACCACCTTTGTTTGGCTTCTGGGGACATTGCACACATGTGGTTCACAGACATACATCCAGACAAAACACCCATACACACAAAATAATGAAATAAAATTTTAAACAAGTAAAAGGTAAACATTATGTAGGTGGGAAGTATTTAGCCAACTACTGGGAAACCTGTTTATAAGAAGACCCATCCAATCACCCAGTTCCTAGAAAATGTCTACTATGCATGATAGACCATTGTAAATACAACAAAAGATCAAAACAAACTTCTTCACATAGGACATAGGAGTTTGCCTTCTGGTGAATGAGATATAAATAAATAAATAAACAAACAAACAAACAAACAAACAAATAAATAAACATCTATGCTACATGGCAACAGAACTTAAAAGTAAGAATAAAATGGGCACTAGTTTAGATCTAAAATAGCACCCAAAGTCCAATGTGTTTGAGGCATGTTTCACACCATGGCATTATGGAGCATCCTTAATGCACACATGACTTAGATAAAGCAGTAAGTGTATTACCTATACAAACCTCATAACCATAATAAAATTGATGATTGAATGCAACATATACATGATAATGCTCTGACTTATAAAAAAAGCTCAATATATACCAAAAATATGAAGAGTGGTTTAGGCATATAAACAGAAAAAGTTATTTTTAAAACTGTACGTGTGATTTACATTATGTTGGTAAACTGTCACATGTTGTTTGAGCTCACTGAGAAGCTGGCTCTAGATGGGAGATTGTTCCCCAAGCTCAGAGCCCAAGCATGTTGATCTCAAAGTGTTCTGCAAGTCCCCTTGCTGGAATAAGCTGCCCCCCTCCTAACTCTGAGAGGGAAGAGAGAGAGAGAACAAGGCTATCCAAGAGTGTAAGCATCGTGTCCCCTTGAGAAGAGCTGGAAGGTGAACCATCTCCAACAGAGATTACTATTGTTTGGCCCATATTGTAAAAGCTCCTATAATGGGAAAGAAAACCCAGTTCACTCTTGGGCAGTCCGTCCATGGAGGGAAAACTCAATCCAGAACTCAAGTTTACTGTTTCAACTTCCCAGTTTCTGTGGGATATTGTGGGCTACTGATTTGATGATGTCATCTCTCTCTGTTTCTATTTGTTACTATTTGTTCTTTTTTTTTTTTTTTTTTCGAGACAGGGTTTCTCTGTGTAGCTTTGCGCCTTTCCTGGAACTCGCTTTGAAGACCAGGCTGGCCTCGAACTCACAGAGATCCGCCTGGCTCTGCCTCCCGAGTGCTGGGATTAAAGGCGTGCGCCACCATCGCCCGGCACTATTTGTTCTTTTTAGTGGCTTTTTTTCTTACTTTATTATTGAGAATCTCACAGAGGTAGACAAAGAAATATGATATCTCTAACCCCAATTGCTCTCCCCAACCACTCCCATATCCCCACTCACCAACATGTATCCCCCCGCACTTTTTTTTTTCCTTTTTCATTTGGAAGTCTCACCCAAGGTGACCCTCTGCTATGCCATAGACTTACTCTTCCTAGAACCCAAACTGACTACCCCAATGAGGCCTTCCCAGTTGATTCCCGCTGGATGTTTTGATGGTATTTTGCTACACACACACACACACACGTATATATGTTTTCATCTACCTATATAACTATCTCTATATCACTTGCTATTTTTTCTTTTACTTTTACAGATTGCTATATGCTGAATAAATCCACTCATTCAAAACCCAATGTATGGCTATAGTAGATCATTTTTAAATAAGCAAATTCAAATTTGGGGAAGTTATTATGCCTGATAACCAAGGGAAGCAGAATTTCTTCCTGAACAAAAGATACAAATGTGCTGAAATTTCAAATTAGCTTTTATACTGATATCCAAATGAACTTATATTAATCTTTAGATTTTGCACACCTAAGTTATTTTGATAATAGTGTATTAAAAGTATTCATAGTAGGTCATCTTCACTTAAAAACAATGGTATGAATTTCTGAGTTTGAACCAGTTCTATAAGCATTTGATAAAACACATTATCGGCTATCCTCAATATGTGTGTGTGTGTGTTGCATATGTATCAGGCATTCTGGTGCTACATGTTTTTGCTGTATGCCTGAAGTATATGGGCATGCATGTATGCATTTGTAGATAGGCATGGATTCAGGCATGGGATGGACCTAGCTGCAGAGTAAATCACTTCCAGTTATTTTCTGGCAACAGTGAAGGGTTTGTGTGCTTGGATGCCACACTCTTTGTGACCCGCTCTCTTCTGGGTAGAAAGTATTACACCGCTGCCTGGGTTCGGGCAGCATCCTGTGGAACAGAGAATGGCTGTTTGGCTTGCTTAGAGATTGAGTCTTCATCAGTTTATAATTTTTCATTTAAGTTTTTTTGGATGCTTTCATAGTCGTATACAATGAAGTATCCCCCTTCTCCTCCTTCTGACCCCCTTTTTCTTCCAAACTGGTCCCCCTCTTGCTTCTCTGTCCTTTTGTGGTCATGTGTCCCTCTTGTGGTCATGGCTGCTATGTGTTCATGTTTACCATGGTCTTCACATCCACAAGACAGTATTTTGAAGTACTCCTCTACCTCTCTCAGTCCTGTCACCCCCTCTAACAAAATGTCCCCAGGGGCTCAAGATGAGTGGTATAAACGGTGCCACTAATATTTCCATTTACAAAATGCCCTGTGGGTGGTGTTGACAGAAAATGATAACTACCGTTATGTTATTCTCTCCAGTCACTTCTCGTGTGAAACATGAAACTGAGGTCCAGCGATAGCTCACAATTAACATGAGTGACACAGCTATACAGTTCTCTGCTCCAGTTTGTAAGTGTGGCCCTCCTAATCAGACATTCAAGTGCAGATGCAGTGGACGACAGTCATACACGGGGAGTATGGGCTCTCTCCATTCTTCTCGCCTGAATTGAAAACTTGAACCACTTAGAGAATGCATTCACAGAAACACAAATTAACAGTGCAAACCACAATAAAGCAATCAACTTCTTGGCCACAAACTGAGAGAAAAGTGGAATGGGATTCTTCATAACGAGATCTTTTCTTTAGTTTAGAATTTCTGTAATTCATATTTTGTGATGTACAGTATTAAGTAAACAAAGAAAATTCAAAAGGGGTGGACAGGAAAGTCTCAATACTTTAAGAACTTTAAATCTTGCCTCAAACGCTATTGTCAATTTTAGAGTTACAACACCATAAAATATCTGGTTTCCTAAATTACCTTTTGAAGCGTGAGGGGTTTTCAGTCTGACAAAAATCCCTTCCATCAGACTCACAAACCACTGGATGGGTAGTTTGTGGACATTTACTCTGTGTCTCTGACTGTCCCCTTTCTCGTTGGAGGCAAAACCTCATGTAGCTCAGGCTGCCCTTAAAGGCAGTAGAAAGCCTACGATAATGCTGAACTTTTGTCCTTCCTACCTGCTCTCTTTAAAGCTCGGTTATACTCATGCACCCACCACACCGGGTCCATTCCCTGTACATCTAACACTACAGATCTAGCAATAAACATGGGCAAAATTATAAAAACAATATGGCACCCTGAGCAACTGTGGGACTAGGAATTTACCCAGCGACACCTGTATGATTCTGGAGAACTTGAAAACTGTGAGAGCGGTTATTCTCACTTCTGAAGCATGTGTATTAGCTGTTTCCAAAGTACAAATACATTCTCTCGTGTCTTGATGAACTGTATTTCCTTCTTGAACTTGTCAACTCTAATGCTTAACAACCATTTCCGGGAGATTGTTTAAAAATAATCTTTAATATTTGCAACTTTTATTTCAAGACTGTTTTTAAAGTTCATGTTAGAGCTACCAGTCTTTATTAACTTATTCCTATTATACATACTACGATTCATCATGATGATATTCAAGTTTTGTCCTTAACCAAAATGAAAGAACATATACGTACATGTTCAGTGCTTGCCTGTAGAAATAACATTTTCCACCAAACAATATACTCTGAGAATTATAATTTGTTCATCACTTGGGTCCAAGATTTAAATATTACCTTATGCTGGAAGGTCTGTATTATTTGAATGAATGTTTAGCTCCCTGACCAAAAAAAAAAAAAAATCCATTGAGAAGACATTTTCATCTAATGACTACTGGAAACTTTCAAGCATCCTACCTTCTCATTGTATACATAGCTCCTCTGATAGAGTGCTTTATTTTCTGTAGAGAATGAGATAATAATGCTGTAAGAAGGATAAAGGGGGAAGACTAGCTCCCGAATCATCAAATAGTCCAAAAAGCACCGTGGCTGTGATGGACCGCATATTCAATTTACACTGCATTGCAAGTAGCTGGTGTTCCTTACTGTAGTCGCTGTTTTCGTCCTTGGTCCCGTCAATGGTGCCATCTGGATGCATCTGCAGGAAGTATCCCTGCTGGCTGAATAACCTTGTCACAATCCCTTTCAGCTGGGGTTCTGCAAGACAAGATGAAATAATTGTTCGCTTTTTTATTTTGTTTATTAAAAACGCACACTTGCAAGTTGTTAAAATACCTTCTACAAGTAAATGCATGAACGCCTGTGTCATAAATATTGAAACTAGCATTTGGAGTGGGGTTGTCTCTGGGTAATAACTACGCTGTTCTTCTTCCTCGGGTCAGAACCATAGTACTTTGAAACAGTATGTCATGTGTAAGTAAATATTAGAACCAATTATGGTTAGAAACCCCAGATGTGTTAAAAAGTGAATTCTTTTTCCTTATTCTACACACAGTGCCTTCCTGAAAGATGCCCCTGAGTTTGTGGTTATAGTTCAGCAAAGCTCGCTTCTCCAGTACGAAGCAATACTCTAAGTCTCCTGATGTCATAATTGGGATCTGGAAGGCTTCTCATTTCTGGATGTCAAGTATCTGTCAGCAGTGCCTAGATTTTGAAATTCTGGTCAAGTTCATCTGAAAAGAACTACAAATGAGAGCAAAACCATGAGAGAATGAGACCCTCGCAGTTACTAACACTTCACCACAGACAGGCCCAGCCAAACTCACTTCTCTAGTACAAAGCAAAACAGCAAAATCCTCAAGCAATAAACATTTCTTTAAAAAAAATTTTAAACCATAAGTGGTCCTCACTTTTTTTTTTTTTTTTTTGGTTTTTCGAGACAAGGTTTCTCTGTGTAGCTTTGCGCTTTCCTGGAACTCACTTGGTAGCCCAGGCTGGCCTCGAACTCACAGAGATCTGCCTGGCTCGGCCTCCCGAGTGCTGGGATTAAAGGCGGTCCTCACTTTTAAACATTTTACATAATTAAGTCATCACACTCTTTGGTACAGCACATTTATATTTCTGTACATCAGCTGATACAAATATTTACAGCTTTTCCATTGAGGTGGCGCCTATGGCAACAGACTGGTTTCTCCAGCATTGCCAACCCTTCATCTCTAGTGCTGGATGAAAATTATCTCAGGACATTTACAGCTCTAATTATTTCATAAAACAGAAGGAAAAACAGAGAATGCGGTCTCTGGTGGCAGAGACTGAGGCAAGGCTGGAAACGACATAATTGAAGTTAAAGATGGTCTACAGCCATACCACCCTGAACACGCCCGCTCTCGTCTGAAGTTAAAGATGAAGAATGATGTCTGTGGAAGGACCATTTCTGAATCTGTCCCTGTCGGCCTCAACCTTTGTGTTTATTCAATCAATACCAGTTAGGAGTTCACTTTTGGCCCCTCTCTGGGAAACATCAGGTAAACTAAACACTTGAATGATGTTTGGTTCTAACAGGAATCCAGTATGTGACTTGGTGACCATAACTGGGAATATAAGGCAATGTGTGTGGCATCAAAGGTGTCCTAAGAAACAAAAGAAAATTGAAAATGAGCAACAAGTGGTTAATACAGAACTGAATTGGAAACCAGGCATTCTGGTTAATAACAATACATTCTCCTAAATTAAATTAGATGCTTTCAGTGTGTAGATCTAAATTTCCTTGTGGATACAACCTAGAAGTCAAACTAAGTGTGCCTTAGGTCCCTTCTATGATTTGCTTATTGTCACATTAGAGTCCTCTACTCTTAGTGGTGACAGGATTTGTCCTCAATGCTTGTCCTCCATGGACCCACTGAACCCAACATGCATACCATGGCTATGTCAAAGAAGCACACAGCTACATAACAAAAAACTGTGTCCATCTTCAATGAGGCTGCATGGCTGGGAAAAGACTTCCAGTATGGCCCATCCAGCTCTAGCTATGCATGGGGACATAAGATCCCTCTGAGATCCCCAGCTTTCTTGGTGTACCAAGCAAACAATATAGCAGCTAAGTCTCACGTTTCTCATCTGGGTTTAAAAAAATATTCTACGCATACTGTAGTCAATGAGAAGTTCAAAGGAATAACTAGGAGACTGTATGAACTATGAAACTACACAAATCTATAAATCCTAATTACTGCATAATGTTTCAACTATGAAAATGAAGGAAGCTGTAGGGCAGACCCCATGCCTCCTGGGTCTGTTGCGGTAAAATACTGATTGAACTTGTGAAAGAACAACGCAAAGAGTGGGCTGAGAATAGACAGAGAGACAGAAAGCAACAATCAGTGTCTTTCTGACAAGCTTCGGGTCACTTTAAGAAGTCCTGTCCTCTTTGGTGATGAGATGCACGGCAGTCTACTCATTAAAGCCTGCAAATTATTGTTTGTTTTCCCCATGCTTCTCTTTCTGCACCTGCAATTAGACACTGTTTTTTGTCATGGTGAAGTTATCCCCCTGTTGGGACTTTGGGAATTCAGGTTGGTAAGTCTTGTTCAGAGTAATGAGCACTAGACCTTTACACCACCTCCCTGTGCCAAGAGCAGTGAGGAGTCAGATGTGGATCTGAGTCTTAATTACATGATGATCTAGAGACACGAATGTCCTGCACCAGAGAGATTTCCCAGGAGGCCAGCACATCTAGTGAGCATGCCCAGAGCCCAGTACAAGCCACTGTGAGCTGTGCAGCCCAACTGTAGAACAGTGCCCCATTCTCTTCTCTCAATCCCTACCAGCCTTTCTAGGCTCCTGCCAAAAGGAGGCCTTCCAGAGAGGCTGGCCAATAGAGTGAGAGACCTGTGTTGAGGAGGGGAGTGTCTTGCTATATTTGAAAGAAATGCTAACTACCTAAACCCACTTTTGGCATATAAAATATCCTGTTCATATTAAAAACATGTATGTTCTTTGTGAGTCTCTGCTAAGAGATTGGGGGGAAAAAGCCTGTGCTATCCTCAGGAAACACCTAGGCTAATGCAAGAAACATAAATTATATTAGTGTCAAGGGAGGGGCCACTAAATGAGTTAGGCAACATGGCATGATGCCCCCCAGAAGCAAGGACTAATTCTGTCTACATTAGACAAAGATACCACTGCCACATAAGGAATGAGCAAGATCCTCTCCCCCAAGTATGTGTGTATTCCTATGCATAGGAATGCATGTGCATGTATGTGAACGTATTTTCACATGTATGGAAGTACTTGGGGGGAGGAGATAAATATATGATAGATAGATAGACAGATAGATAGATAGATAGATAGATAGATAGATAGATAGATAGATAGATAGACAGATAGATAGACAGAAAACAGACAGACAGGGACTCTCACAGGCCCTGCTAAGCAAGCTAGGCTGGCCAGCTTATGAGCTCCAGGAATCCACCTGTGTCTACCTCTCCAGTGCTGAGACTGTGAATGCATGCTACCACACTCAGCATTTTCTACTCAGGCTCTGGGACTGAGCCATCTCCACAGCCTAGGAACAGAAGTTCATCTGAAAAGACAAAACAAATAACAAAACCAAAGGATAAACAGAGGCATTCCAAAGAGAAAACACAGCAAGCAGACTCTACCAAAGAGTCTGGTACAGACAGAACATAGAGTGTAAGTTTTCAAATGCTGACATGCAAGTTAGTGTGTCCTACAAGTGTTTACAGATCAAGAGGAAATGTAATAAAATAGTGCAATTTAATGAGACAGCTAAATAAATTTTATTAGATTCTTTATGATTTAAAGAAATTTTAGATTGAGAAGTATTTTATTCTATTTTTTTTTCTATTTTCTAGTGAACTGGTGGCCAAATTATTTGATGGCAGTGGAGGAGTTAGTTTGCTACGTTTTATGCTCTAAAGAGAAGTGGTAATACTGCAAGCATTTCCCTCAAATCCATTTCCTCCTTTTCCTGGGCACCCAGCTCGACCATATGTCCTAGCCTCCCTTGCAATTAGGTTTGGCAGATGAAAGAGTGTCATATGGAATGTGAGTGGAAGTGATATGTGCCATTTTCAGGCCAAGGCTTTCAAAAGCAAACATTCTCTTCCATGTTCTCTCTGGATTAAGATGGCTAAGCCCTGGGGGATGCTAGAGCAATGGAATGGAAGAATGCTGTGCCCTGAAAAACCAGTAGAGAAGAGAAAATAGCTCTCAGAGATACCCACCTTGGGCAATGAGGTAAATAACAAACAAATTTCCATTGGCTCAGTATGGTAGCTTTCTTCTAATGAGAACAGTATGGAGAGGAAAGGAGGGAGGGGTTTTACCCAAACACAACAAGCCTCTACCTCAGCCAGATCACCAACGAGAACACCGACAGTAATAAATCATGATGTTACCGTGTATCCTCGGTATAATCAGCCAAGATGGCACATTACCTTTGTGACTTTCCATCAAAAATGTGTAACTTCTCACTGTGAGAGAGACACAAAGCAAATCTCAACCAACTGGCACACAAAACTTGGTTCAAACCCCTCAAAACTGTTAGGTCATCATCCACCAAAAGGAAACAGAAAATATCACAGACAAGACTAGAGGGATACAAAGGAATGTGAACACTAAATGGAATGTGGTGTTTTGCAGCTGAAAAGTCAAAACAGTGGGCTTAAAATAAAGAATCAGAGAGGCATGGTGGCCCACGGTGGCAGAGCTTGGTGGGCTGAGGCAGGGAGATCACAAGTGTTAGGTGACTCTGCTTTAAAAACAAAAGATAGAAAGAAAAATTAATAAAAAGAATGGGGGAAGGAAGGAGAAATGAAGGTGTGAAAAGGGAGAAAGATAGGAACAAAGTTTAGATTTCAGTTTATCATAACGTATCAAAATTAATTCTTTATTGTGACAAATGTCTCAGAATAATTTAGGACATTAATAAGGAAAATGGGTATAAACAATACAGAAACTATATTATTATAACTTTTCAATCAAAAACTATTACAGAAATAACCAGGTGTAGGAGTGCATATCTATAATCCCAGCATTTGGGAGGCAGAAACAGGAAGATCAGGAGTTCAAGGTCAGCCTCATAATGAATTCAAAGCCATCCTGAGCTACATGAGACTCTGCCTTAAACAGAAAGGAAGGAAGGAAGGAAGGAAGGGAGGAAGGAAGGAAGAAAGGAAGGAAGGAATAGAAAGGAAGCTGAAATTCTATTATCAAATACACAAATAGGTTATCACAGT